CATTAATAACTAAAGCCTTTTCTTCAACGGATAAATAATTATCCCACCAGCCACGAAGTTGGTCAGTAAAGCCTGCAATAATCATTTTGCAAATAGTTCTATCTGTGTTCTTCACACTTTTACAGATAGTTGAGTACATAAGCATTCTATGTACAAGAATAGTTAACTGTCTATCAGTTAAGCCATCAAGATTCCATTCATAAATTTCGGAACCNGAAATTGCAATAATAAAGTAAGCAATTATAGAAGAAAATTAGAGAGATATTGAGAGAGATTGATGAATTTGTGAGTAAAAATGAAAAAATAGGGGGGTATTTATAGTTGAGAATTGGGAAAAAGTGTGATTATAAAAAGTTTGGGGTTAAAGCAAAGTTTGGGGGCCAAATGGCTATTTTTTAAAGTGGCCAACGGATAAATTTTGAAGGCCAATGGCTAGATTTTAAAAATCTGACCGTTGGTCTTTTTTTTTTAAAAAAAAATATTTTTTAAAAATTAGCCGTTGGAGCCCGTTAGGCCCGTTGGGCCCGGTTGAACCGGCCCAGGCCCGCCTGCCGGTTCCGGGCTCACGGGCTAATTGTCTTGAACCGGCCCACCACGGGCTTTTGCACCACTAGAGCCTAGGTCCGGTTGAACCGGCCCGGTTGGCCCGTTAGGCCTGCGGTCCCGGGCCAGGCCCGGGCCACAATACAACCTTACACTATTATCCTTAGCCTCACGGTGGGCGCCAAACTGTTTACCCTCAAAATCGGATAACAATTGAATTTGTAAGTAGTTTTAAAGATACGTGGATTAACTTGACACAAAGTGATAAATTAAGTTGCAATTGAAATAAATAATAATAATAATAATAAAATAAATTCAAACCACACAAATGGGATAGTTTGAGTCTTGGAAGGTCAACCACCCTCGAACTAGATGCCCTTCGATCAGTATCAAGATACAATAGAATAAGAGCTTAAAGAGAAAAAATAATAGTGTATTGCTTTTGAGTGCGTGTTACAACATGTTACATGAATTATCAGACCCCCTTTATATAGTAGAGGAGTCCTACTTTAGGTACAATTCTATAAAAGGTAAAAAAATCTCTTGATTCGCTGATTGTCGATTCCTTATTGATAAGTGCCGAGATTCCCGCTGTAATATCCGATCGGTCACGGATATTTCGGTCTTCGGTTGGCTATGCTAACAATGTTGCTTCGAGCTCGTTCGGGGCTAGGATTGATTCCGGGATCACGGCCTCTATATTCTCAAAGGCAGGCGTTCTGACCCCGGAGTCTAACCCGGTGGGACTTGGGGTCGGTCTTTAGCCCTTTATTGCCATGTTCAGAACCTGACGTACCATGTCGTAGGCAAACTCGATTTCGGACGTATACATACTCCAAAGTAGTTGAGAGCAGTTATATTAACTTTTATATCTCTATTCGGATCTACATAATCTAAGAGTACAAAGTGCTAAAGAAAGATGAGATGTTGCATAATAGCTGTTCGTCCATAAAAAGCAACTACATAGATATGTTTACGAAGTCAAGAGCAACTCATCTGAGCCAATAGTTCCTAATTCTGCTATGCCAGTACCCAAAACAAGCACACAACAACTGTGTAAATTTTTGATCGACTAATAAGTTCAAGAGTTGGAGATAAGCGGAAATAATTAAGCCGGTGCAAGTAAGTTCTTTTTTCTTACTCAAGTTCGATGAAGAAAGCTAACGAGTACTCTCCTTCTTCAGAAATGTATAGAACAATATGTCTAAAATTTCTGCAGCACATTTTCCATCAAACAACTTTAACCTCTAACGGACACATTTCAATGTGGGCTTGTGTCTTTTTTCAGTTCTTCATTTTCTTTATTATTACCCCCTTTTGCCATTTGCAAACCAACGACCCTTCAAAAGTGTCAAGAGCAGGGACTGAGGCAATTTGTATAATTGATAAGAAAAACAAATGGTAAAAGAATTTAACTGGAGATGTCATCTCTCTCTTTCTAATTGTTTGCAACCGAATAACATTGCTGAAAGAGAAGAATAGAGTAAGACAATCTACAGATGCAAACAGGAAAACTTCAAGGCTAGTTCAATGACTACAACTATTTGCAAGAGACATCCTCTTGGTACGTCCCTTCGGAGACATCCAATAAAATTGGAACGATACAGAGAAGATTAGCATGGCCCCTGCGCAATGATGACACGCACAAATCGAGAAATGGTCCCTCTTGGTACAGCATCAAGCATCACTTTCTCTGAAGGAATAGGTAATGAGGTTCACCCGCGAATCACGATTTGAATGTTTCATGTTATATCTTGAACCTGTGACAGGAAATGAAAAGGATTAAGTATCATAAATAAGCACTCTGACATCAGTAGTTTCTTCAATACGGAATATCTATGAATACCAAGCAAACTACTAGACTATTTATAGGAGTAATAAAATGTGTTGCTTTAACCAATAGAAAATAAGAGAAAGGAAAGGGGATTTTACAGTGGAAGGGAAATAATTTAGCTCGTCACGTCAAATCTATCTCATCATTTTCTTTTTGAATGTTAATCAATTCTATCTCATCTTTTGCTGTTAAACAAAACGTAAACAATGGACGATCACAACACAGCAAATTTTTAGACTTACAGGTTAATGTTTTTGTTTAGTTTTCACTTCGCCGGCATGAAGGCTGGTTTGGAAGGAACCAAGTATACTACCTCGAGATGTGCTAATAATATCTAGAACCTCTTTCAGGAATTCATGAATAGCATTCATATGCAAATGTAGGTGATCTAGTCTCCTCGAGGAATACTTTACAACATGTTTTACAAAATTTTAACTTGATAACCAGGAAAACAGATAGTGCACCCAATGGCGGGACCTAGTTGTCAATATAGTGGGTGAAACTTTGGAGACCAAGGTTCAAATCCTAGCAGAGACAAAAATATTAGGTAGTTTCTTCTATGCTTAAGCCTTGGTGGGCACAGTAACCTTACTTGTGCTGGTAGGAGATAGCAGGTACCTAGTGGAATAGTCAAGGTGCGTGCAAGCTGACCTCACACATCTTTTATAAGGGAAAAAGAATCAGATAGTTCAGAAATGGAAACTCACAAGCACCTCTAGTTTTCACAATGCCTCAACAGCTTCTTACAAACAATTTATTCAGCTGTTGATGGGAGTCAAAACAATGTATTGGTTCCTAGAAAGTCCAAGATCCCAAATTCTCGAAAAGTGCTCTTAAAGGGCATAGGTAGCCTCGATAATTTGGTTCACGATGATTTTTACTTTTTTTTCCTTTTGTGACATTCTGAAGAGAACAGGTCATGCAAGTTTAACTGCACTACTTGAAAAGGCACTCATTGATAGTCAAATGCATACACCTTTTAGTTCTTAGCAAAGTGATCCATATATGCTAATAAAATATGTGACGAAACACATCAAAAGAAATTATTAAGATATGCAAAAGACTTATGTATAGTCCAAGAAATAGCGAGAAAGGTACCAGGGAGACAAAAACAATCCTTGCAGTTCCACAGATGATCACTGAGCCACTCAACGTAAATCTCATCATTGTCTGAGAGACGAGCGCTTCAACCAACTTTCTAACTCCAACCCACTCTTTCTTTTCACTTACGGCCCCTCTGCTTGTTCAATCCTTTATTATCACCAGCTGCCTTTTGGCTCATAGGTCCAGTCCCAAAGGCCCCCAAGGCATCAAGAAAGAACTTTTTGTTGGGGATAATCCCATCTTTGTCCATACATGTCAACAATTTTTGTACTAGCTCCTTCATATCGGCTTTAGTGTAGGCCTTATATAGAAGTTTATAGGTTGAGGAATCTATAGGGAAAGCTTTGGCTGAATGAATACTCTCAAAGAGCGCGTCGGCTTCTACGGGTAAACCATTCATGCAATAAGTATCAAGCATTGAATTCAGTGTTGAAACCTTCTTCTCCTTTTCAGATTCTACCACCCTATCAAATAGTTCTCTTGCTTTTGCAACACAGTCGCAATGCCCATACATCATAAGGAGGCACTCATATGTGATGTAACTTGGCCTATATCCTAAGTCAGTCATCTTCTCAAGAACTAACTCTGCTTTCTCTCTCAGCCGTGCTTTTCCATAGTTTGTTATCATTGAGTTAAACGTGGGAATGGTAGGTTTTTCCTTGGATCGAAGCAAGCTTTTAAAAACTTGTTCCATCTTCTGAAATTCCTGCTTCTTCCCATATGAATCAATCAATATGTTAAAAGTAATGATATCTGGTTTCAGCTCATTACTCTTTATTCGAGAGAGAACATGCTCCATTTCCTTGATCATCCCATTTTTCCCATAGGCATCCATCAGACCATTAAATGTGAATATATCAGGAGTGACAATGCTATCCTCGAGATCTTTCAACAGAGCATCTACCTGTTCAACATTTTTTGCCTGAGCAAAAGCTCTCAATAGAATGTTGTAAGTAACAATACTTGGACTACAACGCTCCATTCCCTTCATCTTCTCAAAGTAACCCATAGCCTTTGCCAAGGCCTTGGATTTGTCTCGGGAGTGGAGATGGGCTGAAATGACTGCATTGTACACTGAGGTATCTGGCCGACACCCACTATTACGCATCTCGGAGAACAGCCACATTGCCATTCTGATCTGCCCTTTCTTCCCCATTACTGATATCAACTTTGAGTAAACCCCATTATCCGCTATATACCACCGTTGTTTTTGCATCCATCTGAAAACCTATATATATTAGATTTATAAGTGAAACAACTGCCTCTGTAAACTAATTTTACTTCAGATAAGTCAGTCAAAAAAGGCATTCTATGTTGCTAATTAAAAAAAGGATTGGTTTTCCCTTATAAAGACAAAAGACGTTTTAAAGACAGAATTTTTAAGTTCTTTTTCCAGTATAAGTCGTAAAAACATATGGCAGAAACGAGCACCTTCTAGACCACACTACCAGAGAAACTACAATATAAAAGTGGAATGCAAATCCATACATAGAAATAGAACCTAAAACTCTAGGTGATAGCATTTCTTCAACCTCTAGAATATGGTTTTAACGGCATGAAACTATTGAATTTGCATATGACATTTGATTTTCTAGTATTATCATTTTTCAAAGCACATAGATCTTTGCATTAGATTCAGAGATCATATGAAACAAACCAACCTATCTGTGCCCATTGCCGATAGTAGAGAAATCTAAAGTAGCTTGATCAAGAGACATTCATTCAATTCCACAGTACCAATCAATCAATTATACCTCAACCCCAAGCTAATTTAGGTAGGTTAAAAGAATCCTCTGAATCCATTCTGTTTGATTCAGCTTATCTCATTCCGATATTGCATAATTTGTCTTTTAAGACAAATGAAGGAGGAGCATTGATGTAGTAGGAGGTCACGGGTTTAAGCCGCAGAAACGGCTTCTTGCGGAAATGCAAGTTAAGGCCGAGTACATAAGACCTACGTGTTCCCCGCCGTTACCCAAACCTCTCACACAACGGGAGCTTAGTGCACTTTGTTTTTTTATTTTTTGTTTTTTTTGGTTTTTAAGGCAAGTAACGGGTTCCTTAAGACCAGAGTTCACTCAACCTCACACTTATCACTATACAGACATACAAGTTTCCGCTTCAAAAATGGAAATGCAACGTTTAACGTAAAAGAAGGGGCAAACCTCAAGGCATTGAAGCCAATTATCAGTTTTGCCAAGTTCTTCAAAGAGCAAGAAACAGTGTTCAGTCCTCACAAACTTAACGTACTTGTTCAGAGTGCTCACTAATGGCTTCTTATCACTGAAATTCTTCATCAGCAAAGTCACCAGCTCCTGTGCCTCGGATGACCCGATGCGGCTCATGGTACCCGACTTTCTCCCGGGTCGGGTCGACACACAACGGATAACATAGAAAACGGGTCTCTTGTAAGTGAAATTTAGCCATGGATTGTGGGTCAGTTTGGGTTGTTGAAATGTTGGTGTAGTAGTAGTTGAGCAGGGAAATTGAACCGACCCGGAACAAGAAAATGGCAGGGTCATTGTTGGTATTTTTTTTATCGGTGTAATTGAAGTGGAAGAAGACTGTGCATTGGATTGGGGGGTAGTTTTATGGGGGTAGGGGTGAGGGAGATAATGGTGAAAAATGGAGAGAGGAAGTGAGCAGCTATTGCAGAGTAGTAGTGGAAGTTTTCGGTGTTCAACTTTCAGTTCGGAAGAAGGGATGATGTGCAGTAAATGACGATGTTGCCCTTGAATGGGTCAAAAAAGGCCAAAAGAGGATGGATCCGAAATGGGGATTTGAACCCGACGTGAATCGAACACGCAACCTTCTGATCTGGAGTCAGACGCGCTACCATTGCGCCACGGATCCTGTTGTTCTTCAACAAGGAAATATTTATATATATATATATATATATAATTGACTTGTTCTTACACAAACTATAATTGGCTTTACATGTAAACTGATGTTAAAGATTATGGTAGATCGTTGAAACGACACCAGAGCAAAAATGTTCAAGATACGAAACCTTTGGATTATACAAAGAAAATTAGGTACCCGCTTGTCTATAGATATTTTTTCCTGTTTTTGAATTTATTTTCAAAAATGTGTTTGTCCACGAATTTTTGCAAGTTTTTGGAATTTTTTTAAAAATGAGTTTTTCAAAAAATCCCTTTTTCAAAAATTTTAGAAATTTTTGTTTCCCCACTCACAAAACTGCAACATTTTTTCAAATGAAATGCACGTCCAAACATAATTTCAAATTCCAAATATAATTTTTCAACTTAACTCCAAATACTACTTTTTTAAAAAATTATAATTTTATGTCCAAATGTCTATTAAATATCTACCTAATTAAATTGGGGCTGAGGTTCAATGTTGCAGCCAAACGCACACGCAAATATACGCGGTCGTCAAGTAATAAAGGAATAAGATAGAGTGTCGAACCCACGAGAACTTGTTATCAATTATAAACTAAATTGGACTATCCTAGTTATCTAAACAAGAATTAATCCTAAAAGTATGTGACTCTTGCCTAATTGAAATAAAGAAAAACAAACAATGAACTCTGAACAAAAAAAACAGATTTTTATGTTATCAATGCAATAAAAACGATCTAGGATCATGGGGTATCTAACAATCCTATTGTATTCTTCAAGTAAATTAACTAGTTAATTTATCTAGTTTATTGATTGATGGGGTTAATATTGCTCATAAGAATCTAATAAGTTCTTACTCGCCTATTCAAGCTAACCCAACGCCTATATGTTTATAGAGTTAGAATAAACAAGAATGCATTTATAATTCTCGTATAATAACCAAGCAAGGCAATTAGCATATGTTTATCATAATCGCGAATCCGTTCTCCGATGACCGAAAACTTGCTCTACTCAATCCTATATGCAATCTAGAATTTTTATTTTCGAGTTCAATTTCTGAATTTGTAAATAAAATTCAATTGGTGATCAAGCATTCAAATAATTAAGCGTAGGATTGAATAAATAAATCAATATGATAAATCAAGAAACCAAAGTCAATATTTGAATAACAATAGTCATGAAAGAATCACAACCCTATAACGTGAAGTATAGCTCCACATAGGCCTCATTTGTTTTTTTAGATTAAGATGTTTGAATCTGAATACATATCTGAATATCAAGATGTGTTGTAACAATCCGACCGGTTGTTTGGAGTACTTAGCCTCGATTCCCTATTTATTTCCTCCTCTATATTATATTATGGTTATGTAACTTGTCAGGGTGTTTAATTTTAGCTAAGGTGAGTATTCGGAGTGAAATTGGATACATAGTCCCTATGTTGGAGGTTTAAGTTGTAAGAGTTGACCGTAGTTTGAATTTTGTGTAGACGACTCCGAAATAGAATTTTGATGGTTCCAATAGCTCTGTATGGTGATTTTGGACTCAGAAACGTGTCCGGATACTGATTTGGAGGTCCGTAATTCGTTTTGGCGTGAATTGGCGAAAGTTAGAAAAATTAAGATTTAGAAGATTGAAAAGTTTGACCGGGAGTTGACTTTATTGATATCAGGGTTAAATTTCGATTTTGAAAGTTGGAATAGGTCCGTCATGTCGATTTTGAAAGTACAAAATTTAAGGTCAATCGGAGTTGTTTTGGTATGAATCGGCATTGGTTTCGAAATTTGGAAGTTCATAGTTTCACAGGCTTGAATTGAGATTGCGATTCGTTGAATCGATGTTGTTTATATGATTTTTAGCCTCATGTAGGTCCGTTATATATTTTGAAACTTGTTGGTATATTCGGACGGGGTCCTAGGGGCCCCGGGTGTGATTTGGATTGAATCCAGATCAATTTTTGGACTTGTGCAATTGCTGAAGTTTCTAGCCATCTGGTGTCTTCGCACCTGTGGAAGGATTGGCTGCAGGTGCGGACTCGTAAATGCGAGTGATGGAGCACAGAAGCAATATGGGTTGCCCAGGCCTAGGCAGGTGCGAGGTGGTTTCCGCATCTGCGAGTCCGAAGATAGGGAGAAATGGTCGCAAATGCAGAATGGGCAAGCTTGGTCGGTCGTTGTAGAAGCGGAGAGTTTTCCGTATGAGTGCATTCGCAGATGCGCGAGTATGTCCGCAGAAGTGGAATCTCCTGAGCCTAAGTGGAACTTGCACCTATGATAATATTTCTGCATGTGCGACGTTGCAGATGTAATGAAAGGCTCGCAGAAGCGGATTTACTGGGCAGAAAATAGGAAATTTCGAGAGTTTGTTTCATAATCCATTTTTAGACCTTGAGAGCTCGGTGTGAGGCTATTTTTCGGGAGATTTTCAAGGAAAATATTGAGGGTAAGAATTCCTAACTCGATTTTGGTTAAATTAAACGAATCTATTGTTAATTTCATCATCTAGTTAGTGTTTTGAGATAGAAATTTGGAGAAAATTTGTGAAACTTCTTAGGCTAAAATTTGGGGCTTTTTTTCGTCCCCATGTCGCCACATGGAGGGAACATAAAGACGTAAAAAAGGGGGTCATATCAACTTGTTCCGAGGATGGATTTGAGTAATCCTTGTATGGTTGGACTCGTTATCGAATGAGTGTTTGAATTTTGTAATTTTGGTCGGGTTCCTATGTTACAACCCATATCCACACGCGTTAGTTCATGCCATATATTAGCTAACATAAATCCAAGAAGAAATTACCTTTGAGATGATAAGAAGTTAATCCTATTGATCTTAAGTGATACAAGGGTGTATAAGGGTGATTAACAAGTATTAGAAGTTAAACAAATCAAGGATGTTGTAACTCGTATTTTCAGGTAAACCTAGAGGTTCTTAATACACTCAAGGTCATGTATTAAGGTGTTTGAATCATATAATATTGTTATCATAAGTCTTGAAGTCAACCGAGTTGTGAAACAAAAGTCGACAAACGTTGTCGCAACTTAGGTTCATAATTTTACTTAAACATTAGGTTAAATGTTTCTAAGCTTTTCTCCTAATTTACAAGGAATTACGGGGTGATCTACCCACCAAATTAAATATCTACGAGTCTAGTTTCCAACGCATTAAACCATTTGTCAATACGATCTCGGAGTATAGAGATATTCATATTTTCGCAAGCCTGCGCAGATTGGTAGATGACAAGTAGGTGCATCACCTACTTGCCAAAATGATAGGACAAAATTAAAAGACCTAAGTCGGCCAAGAGAGGACTTTTAAGGGGTTATGAACTCAGTTATTTCATCCATATTTCAGACCCTCAAAACCAAAGTTAACCCCTGCAACTCCTCCCCAAAAATCCCACACAAACCCTAATCGATTTTCCCTCTCTTTCAAGTTCTATTTGAAGGTAAAACCTAGAGTTTGAAGAACCAAGGGAAGGGCTGAGTTATCCAACAAGTAAGGTAAGTTACTGCCATCTTTCATACATTTTTCTCTGCTGTGAATTCATGGTAATTCATTCTATACATGTAAGAACTCACAGGGCGGTGATCAGAAGTCGTGAGTTCGAGTTATTCACTTGTAGCGGACTGTTTTGTGGACTGTTTTGTGTTGCTATTGGGCTGCATGTTTTACTACTATTTTGTGGAGATTTGGAGGCGGAAGGGTGTGGATAAACACCATATATATGTAGGGTTGTGGGCTGATAGTTATTCGTAACATTTCCGAGTCGTTTGACACGACTACGGTGGTCGTCGTATGTATGATGTAATTAGGTTATGCGTGGACTGTTTTGAGAGGCTCAATATGTTTATTATTGATGTTGTTTGGGATGTTTGGTGATTGTTTTGAATGGTGATAAGTCATATATATAGGGGAGGTGCTATCCGTTTTAACATAAAATAGGTTGTGATCGATACGTAATAGTTGTGACGCTTGAATGATAACGATAGTATTGTTTCTCTTATTGTAGACTAAGGAGTTGTGACAATTGCATAGCTTGCGATTGGGGCAGTATATACACGGTATGTGAGGCTATCTCTTTTCTTCTTTTGCACGACTCCAATTGTACATAATGTAATGAATGAGCTTCCAAAGATACTCTACTCTTAGAAGCTAGCAGTACTTACATTGCTTTCCCTCTTATGGAACGATTGATGTTAATGTTGCTTCTCTTATTCTTATGTTATCAATGTTGTTGGTACTTCCTGATTCTTATAAGGTTCATAGTGAAGAGTTAGTCCTAATAACGTGTACAGAGGATACCGACCTTACGTCACTCCGAAAGGTTTAGAATGTGATTCCATGAGTCGAGCATGCATTATATATATGTATCTATTTTACTCTACCGAGCCACGCTATAGTTGGCCGGGTACGGCACCTATTGTGCAACCACTGATCAGTTGGGTTTTACCGAGCTCCACGTGGCCGGGTACGATTCTACCGAGCCTTATGACGGCCGGGTACGTTTTTACCGAGCCTATTATGGCTGGGTACGATATGATGATGATGATGCCCACAGAGGCGTATGTTTTAAAAGTTTATGTATACATACATATGTATCATGCATTTCATGTCAGTAGCCCTCAGAGGTACTCAGATGTTCCAGGTTGTATATTCTCTATCCCTGCTTACATTACTGTTCGTATTTATGGTTCCCTGCCTTACATACTCAGTACTTTATTCGTACTGACGTCCTTTTATTTGTGGACGCTGCATGTCGTGCTGCAGGTCCTGATAGACAGGCAGGTGCAGCTCCCCCACCACAGTAGGCTGTCCAGTTCAGCGGTGATTGGCGAGATCCCTTCTCCGGACT